TTTTTTAAACCAACTTGCTATATATGAAATTTACTTTTTATACTGATAAATTAATATCTAATATTGGAACTAAACAAAGCTTAATAGACATTAAATAGGTCCAAATTAATAGTAACAACCAAGTTCTTCATAAATTTTTAGCTAAAATTCATTTTTGGTTATTAGCTTATAAGGCAAAGCTCTTTTTATCTTATCTGCAATATTTCAAATCTATACTAATTCACAATTAGTTATATCTAAGTACTACAAACTTTCTACATAACTCAAAAATTCTAACAAATTCTTTAAATTTAATACATGGCCTTTATAGTATACATTTCTTAATATTATCAAATCCTTCAATCTAAATATTAACTTTTACAAAGTTTAAATCTATACAGATAATACTTTTAATAAACATGGCTGACTTTTTAGCAAAACAATATACCTTTTCTCTGTCTTTAAACTTTTAATATACAAATATTTACAACCTCTTTCATATTTTACAATAGGAACAAAATCCTGTTAAGCTTCTTATTTAATACTTTATCAAAAATATTTGCAAAGCTTACATATTGGCAATGTGGTCTTTACAAAAAAGAAACAATGAATAGTCTCATATTAATTACTATATAAACTGGCAATCAACATGGCTATATCTCAACTATAACCAAAAACTCTCATTCAAGTTTACTAATTTTTTTTTTTTTAAATATTAAGATAAGTACTTGTGATTCAGGATTTTATTGATAGTATATTTGGCTAATAGATGCTTTACAACTATAGAAAGCAAATATAGAAAGAGTGTACAACTAGCCACTTGTACAACTTTAGTTATTGTCTAATTTAAATAGTCCATCTGAAGATTCTATACTAGCTGCCATACTTGAAACCTGCTTGTAGATTTTCTATTTAACTACTCTGTTTCTGTATCCACCTATCTATCTCTGTCTATCAACAATCTTGGCTGATGCTAGTAAAAATATGCCATGGCTACTAAGTCTTTAAAGCAGTTTATTCATATGAGAAACCTTTGACCTTGTACTAAACCTTTCAGAATCTTCTGTATTCCATTCTTACAGCTGACCTGATATTACTATAGCTGAGACCAACACTGGCAGTCAGAGTGTACTATTAAACTGCTATGACCTTGTAGAGTTTACCCTAACCCCATACTAACTTCACAACATATTTCTATTACTTTGGTATTCAATTCAAGTTCCACTAAGCTGCCAAACCAGATAGTCTGAAAAGGCAGGTTGAAGTTATACACCTCTGGTTTACATGTTTGCTGACATATAACCTTTTTCTTTAGAATCTGGCAATTCTGATGGCCTGGTTGGTTCATCTGATCCCTTTTTAAAGACTAGCATATTTGTCTAGTTTCACAAGTTCTAGCTCTGTTTCATAGGTCTAGTTTTTACAGTAGCACTGTCAAAAGTTTGGATTATCTCTTTACTCAAATCTTTCAAGTAGGCTTTTATCTTTTTTCTTTTGGTTCCTATGATTTACATAGTCATGAGGACTTATTGTAGGTTTGCATTGCTTAGTACCAGTTTGCATTCCTTTGTATAACTACAGACTTTGTTTTAAAGGACAATGTCATGTAACTGTTATACAAATATCATGTGACCTTCCAGTTATGCTGGTGCTATATAGGTAACAGGTATCTTATATTAACCAATTGCAAGAGACAGTTAATTATAATACAGAGAGAATTTTCAAAATTTCTATTAATACTGGGATTTGAACTCTGAACCTGCCACTTGGAGGTTGACAACTTGACCACTTTAATAGGTCACTACACTTCTCAAGTTTACTAGTTTTAAACTTAATCAATTCAAAGCCTTTAAAATCAAAGTTCTACTGAATGAACTACTAATATATTTTTCTTTTCACAACATATATTCAACTATCTTTACAAATACTAACTGCTTCCAGTGTAATCTTTCTGATTCTCACTCATATTAGCTAACTTGTCTCAACTTTTCTCTTATAACAAACATTATTAATTCATCAATTTAGCATATTTTATCTAAAGCAAATCTTAATTTATCTACTATCCAGCTTTATGAACTTATTCAAAAAATTTAAAAACATCTTTCATTTGACCAAATACTATTTCAAACAAACTCTTTTTATTTTGATCTTATTCTTAAAGACCTTATACCCAAAGCCTTAATTAAAACAATTTATAACTACAATATACCAACTAATATAGCTTCACAAATTATTATTTAAACACTTCTTGATATTAATGATCAAATTTACAACCAAATATGAAAACTATATTGTATTAATCTTTCTAACTAAAAAAAGAATAACAATATTACATCTTTTTAAACTCATAATATTCACAATACTTCACAACAAATACAACAAACTAGACATTACAAAAGATCATATACAAATTATACATACTCATGTCTATATAGAATAGCAGATCAATTACACTTATATTCTAATATTTGTTCATCAATTGAACAGGCTATTAGGAAAATCAATATATGGTTGACACTTTGGATTAATCATAGCATATCTTACAATCATATTTTAACATTACAAATCTAGGTAGGCTTTAACCACCATAGTTAATTTAGGTTGCAGATAAAGTTGTTTGAGCTTTAATTTTTGCATATAGTTTTTATTTTATATTTTACAATTTTAGTATATCTTGAATATATAGTATAATAATATGTACAACTAAAATTACTAATAAAGATATAAGCAAGGCTTTACTTTAACACCAAAAAAAAATAAGTATTATTTAGAATAACTATTGTTATCATTATATGTTTTACTTGTCTTCTAATATTTTATTTATCTCCTAATATTTAAAGATTAACAATTGGTTATTGTGGTTTTAAAATTTCTTTTTGAATAAAATTTAGAATTAAATATTGTAGAATGTCTTTAATATACCTATAATTACTTTTATAAATTGTACTAACTACTTCTTGTACTATAAATTCATTATCTATATCTGCCTTCTTATCTTCATTAATTTGACTTTTAATAATTATATTTATATTAGATATTAGTATAAGTTGTATTATTTTTTTATTTATTGCTTAACCTTCTTGATATATCTATTTTTTATATAATAAATGAGATTTTATAACACATAAATCTCAGTAAAAATTTTTTAAAATATTTTGTTCATCAAATGTTTTAACTATTAACTCAGTTTTTTGCTTTTTTTTAACTTTATCATTATTGTTATAATTAATTTTATAAATATGTTTTTAACTAAATAATATAAATTTTCCAATATTGATATATCATTAGAATTGTATAATTATGAAACTTTTTTATTAAATTTAATTAATATTAACTTTCCAACATTAATAGACTATTTTGTAAGATTAAAATTACTATATTAATCAACTTGCTTTAATGCATTTGAATGATATTTTAATTTTTTTATTTTATTTAATATTTTAAAATGAAGATCAAATGAATATACATCTAATGTTTTAGTTTTTTCTTAGATGTATATTGCTAAAAAAATTAATTTGTATTAATTAATATAAATATAAAATATTTTCTTAAAATAAGTATTAAATATGAATTTTATAAAATAAATTTGCAGCATCTGTGACTGTTTTAATAGAAAATACTTCATATTTGAAGTTTTTTCCAAAACATATTTGAAAAACTGAACCTTCTTTATTATAGTTAATAGAACATTGAACAGTATATTGATTATTGCTTCTACTCCAAGTAGCATCTATTGTATAATTATTAAGAATCTTATATTTATTTAGAAAAAGAATATATGCTAATAATGATTGGTTAGAATATGTGCCTTCTTTAACAATTTTAAATAAAAAACTATGATTTGGTTCTTTAAATTTAATAATTAAATTAAAAGAATAATTATAAATTTTTTGCATATTATTTATTATAACAAAGTAATAAAATATCAATTAAATTTATTGTATATATTTCAGTATTTTTTAAATATATATAGTAATAAAAATATAATAGTTAATCACAGTCAAATCATTGAACTCATAATAAAATGCTCATCAAATATGCATCATAAATTTTAGGATAGTGTAAAAATATGCAATAATATATAACAAATTTTTGCTTTTATAATTTTAAAGTTTAATTATGATATAAGTGCTAATCTGTAATAGTAACTTTTGGATTTCTTATCTTTTTTTTAAGTTCAAATTGTCATAATAGGTTCTTGTAATTAAAGAATATATCCAGATAAACATAAATTGGTTAATGGATTAAAAAGTTCAAGCTTTATAGAATAAACAAACCTATTATGATAATCTGGGCTTAAAAAAAAGTAAGAACCAAAAGTCACTATTACAGGTTTTCATATATTGTAATATTTGTAATAATCAAACTATAATAATAGTATTTTTAATTTGCATTTCTATACTGATCTTTATATTACAGAAATATCAACAAACATGTAATTATAGCTGTTTTTATAAATTTTGAAATATTTAAAAATTTACTCATTTTCCAAAACCTCTTCGATCTAGTTCTAAGAGTTACTTAACTTTTAGGAATATGATGTTGTCTCTGTACTGAAGCCACTCAGAAATATGTACTCTGTTAAATAATTATCCAGATAATTAAAAAATAAGCAACTTTAATTTGCAAAAAATTCTGTCAATTAAAAACCAAAAGTATATATATTATATATATTATATATATTGTTGACTCTGAATATAATAAACTCAAAACTTGAAATTTTATAAAAAGGTAAAACTATATAAATTAAACTTTTTTGATTAAATAAACTATATTTTATATATTTTACAATGTCTATACAACATAACAGGCTTATATTTTTGATGTTCTAAAAATAATTTTTTAAATCACTAATTTGGAAGGAAGTTTTTTTTGACAAATTATATTAATTAAATGAAGTTTTAACTTAAATGTTGCAGAATAATTCATGTTTCTATTTCTTAAACTATGTGACTTTTTGTTTTACTAAGGCTATTCAAAGTTGATTAGTTGTTTAAATCAACATTTTGAGCTTAGGTTTGATGGAAAGATAGTTAGTAAAGTAGTACTGTATATGGAACCCCCTACAGCAAAAGAAGGGATGGGCTGACCAATCAGATTTTGAGATTTTATCACTATCATGTGCCTAATAGTCTAATTTATTAAAAAAAATAATTTTTCGATTATAATATATTAGTACAAACTTTAAAAATATATATGGTCTTCTTGTTGCTATTTTTAGTAAAGATCATTATTATTATATATTTAATTTCAAAAATCAATACACACAAATCGTGTAATATACAAGTTCATTAAACTTAATCTTGACAATAAATAAATAGAAATATAGTAAAGATCAATAGTTCTTATTTTCATAAAAATTTTAATGCATTTTTAAAGTTAAGGCTACAGTTATACCAATTTTTTTGCAAAGTACTAAAATTATAATTAATTAATCATTAGTTTTAGAAGATACAACTTAAGGCAAAATTTTAAAAGAAAATTTTTATATCTAAAACAGTAGTAATATATGGAAGATGATGTATATATTGCTACATATTTTCAAATTATATTTGATTATATTTAATTGTTCTTTATATACAGATCTAGAAAGTGATATAATTTAATTCATGCATATCGATATGTATATACTTGGTATTGTTCTTTTTTTGAATCTTGCAAGCATTAAAACTTGTCAATCAAGTTTTTTTGAACCCTAAGTTGAATTTAAGTATATAGACATGCTTGCATACTCATTTACATTCAAGTTATCGAATAAATTTAATTTTAGTAACAAAAAAAAAAAAAAAAAAAAAAAAAAGCATATCAATTTTAATTTACATTCTTTGTAGTACTACCATAGCTTATAATATAGAACATAATATTTATTTTAGTAATAATAGTGCAAACGATGATATCTTAACAGCTTTAGGAAAGCTAAATAATACATTTTTTGTTGAAGATTCAAGCTCTAAAAGTGAACTAATTATATCAGACAATAAAATTAAATCAGAATCCGATAATGATAAAAGCTTTAATAGCTTTAATAAAATATATCTAAATAGTTATGAATATATAAATAACCCTGATAATTATATTGAAGACAAAGCTTATGATGACTTAAAATTAAAAGTAAAAGAGTTTTTTAAAAATAGAAAATGTACATGTTACCCTAAGTGCTTTGAAAAAATTGGATATGAACATTTTCTTGCACATCAAATAGAATTTGAAAACTTAAGCAAAAATATACGTGATTTGGTTGTTAAAGGACAGCTAATGGCTTTTCAAAAAGATGAAAATACAAAAAAAGTTACTACAACTAACAGAAAGTACTTACAGTTCAATTATTGTTTTAATAATAGTCTTTCAGTTTGTTATACTACATATGAAGTCCTTGTTAGAGTTAATCACAAATATATTGATGCTATAATACAATATCTAAAAGAATATAGCCTTGATGAACGCATTTATAGTAATACAGGTAAATCTCTAAAAAATATAAACTGTGTTGAAATAAATTATAATGTCATATAAAATATATACATTTTTAAAAAATTATGCTAATGTACATGGCATACCTTCACCTGGATAACATTTCAATAGAATTTTTATACCTGTTATATTTTTTCCAACAAGTTATAGTTATGCCTCAGTATATCATGATTATATACAAGCATTTAAAGCTGAGTATCCAAATAAGACACATATTATAGCTGAATCAACTTTTACTAAAGTTTGGAAAACTTTAATACCATCACTTTAATTTATGTCACCAAAGTCCAATTTATGTGAAACTTGTGAAATAATGAAGTTAGATATTCAGTATGCAAATGAACAGGAAAAAAAAATTGAAATTATTGAAAATTATTTAGCAGATCTAAATCTAGCAAAAGAAGAGCATGATTACTATAATGCTAATATTAAGCTTGTAATTAATGATGGCACTTGTAATTTAAATCAAACTAATATAGAATTTAAATTTTTTAATGACTATACTCATATAGCATATTATTGGACTCAAAACATATTAGTTCCTTATTCATTGCAACAAATTGGGTCTCTGTTTTTTAAAAGTTCTCACAAAATATATTTATTTGGAGTTTGTAATATTGGTAATTATCCTCATACAGAGCAAACTAATTATGTAATTGATGAAGGTAAAATGCCTAATAATGGTAAGCAAGGAAAGAGCATGAATTGTATATTAAGTTTAGTATAGCATGCAATTAAAAAATATAATCGAGGTAAGAAAAAATTAATTATTATATGCGATAACTGCACAGGACAGAATAAAAATAATTATTCATTATTTTTTTATTTTTGGCTAATTGATTGTGGAATGTATGATGAGATTAAGTTAAATTTTATGATACCTGGACACACAAAATTTATTTGTAATAGTTGTTTTGGGTTAATTAAAATTCTTTATCGAAAGAGCAAAGTAAACACAGTAGATAATGTTATTTCAATTATTAATCATTTAACATTAGTTCATCTTAATACTGCACAGCATTATTTAAATAGTAAAGGTTTTTAATACTATAATTTTAAAGTTTATTTTCAAAACTTTAAAAAAATACAAAGCATTTAACATTATTATTATTTTTATTTTACTTCTCAATATTGTAGAGTAGTGTTTTATAAAGATAGAATTGAAGATGATTACAAAAAATACTATAATTCGATCTTTTTTTTTTGATTTAAATATTCTTCTTCCAACTATTAATACTAAATCACTTTCTTTAAAAAGGCAGAAAGAGTTATATAAAGAAATTTCACAGTACATTGATTTACCTTTTAGAGAAATAAGTGTTCTAAACCAGATAAACCTAAAACAAATTAAAAAAACCCAATCAATATACCAATATAACAATAGTGAAAACAGATACATATATACATAAGTAAATTAATAATTATATTGCGATAACATCTTATTATATTGTGATACTGTTTATGACTAAAATAATTTATCAATTTATTAATTAGTAGTTTGTAAAACATTTTCGTTCAACTTTTGTAAAATATTTGTCAAACTTTTTAAGATAATTGTGATATATCAAAAACTAGATTTTTGTTCTACATATTGTTGGGTTCGGAAGATTGCAACTCAGTTGCTTCAAAATTAAAACCTCGCGTAGTGTATAACAAGTAACCTTTTCGAAAGAGGGTGTTAGATTTGGCTTGTGGGCAGTTAAGGCTTTCAGTCACTTTGGGTCAACGAATGCAAATAGGATAAGTCACATGGTCAAGAGTTGAACAGTGACATTATTAGGAGTTCACAGGGTTTGTAATGGTAATAGTGTTAGAGTTGTTATTATGAATGATACAATGTATTGAGACTTGTTTATTAATCAAGCAAATGAAACATATTGTCCCTTAGAGCCATTTCGGCCTTTATTTATAATACTAAATTCGTCATTTACAAATACAACTTTGCACTTATTATTACTTTAAGGTTATTAAATGTTATTTACACTGATCTATGTAATATCTTTAAGGATGTGTAATTTCTACTCCCATCCTCCCTTCTGGATCCAAAATACCATTTCTGGTCACAAATATAACTTATTGCATTTTGTGTATTTTTCACATAATTGGACATGAAATCCGATATCACAATTTCCATCATTACAATATATAAATAATTTTGATTAAGTAAATTGTTTGCAGTATTAAATTTTACATATTTTTAAATTTTTATAGAATTCATATAAATAACTTCTTATAATGAATCTTTATCTATTCGCTACTACAATATAGCACTTTAGAATAAAAATTATTATTTTATTAAATTAACTATATTTAGCATTCTAGTAATGAAAATTTAGTAATTTTTATATCATTTGATTCATCATATTAAGACAAATTGAATGATATAAAAATCATTAAATTTCAATCACTGAGTTACGAGATATTATTAATTTATTATAAATTTGCATATATAATAATCATAAAATTTCAAATGTAATTTATACAAAATTTCAAAATTGGCCAATCCCCCTTTTGCTATGGGGGTTCTATATACAAAATTATGCAAAATTTTGATAAAATATACATAACTATATAAATTAGTATAGTATAGAAACACAAATTAGGACAGATATATAGAAATCATATAATTGTAAAAAAAAAAATTCTTTCAAAAACAGCTAATTTTCTTATAGCCTCATATAAAAAAAAAATAATGATTACCTTGCATTAACACTAAACAAAAAAAATAGTTTATTTGTAAAGGATTAGGTCTCTTCTTTTATTTGGCATGAGGATGTGATAAATCATCAATATGATAAGTAAGCATTAGCTAAATAATAATTATATCAACTAATGCTTATTAGTCATACAAAAGATATGTCTTATCCTTGTGCCAAATGAATAATGGACTTATAAAAATTAATTTTACAAACCTATGTTAACTATACATCTGTACATATTTGTATAATCATACAGTACTACTTTACTAACTATTTAGTATATATAGTTAAAATAGTTTTATAATATTAAAATTTTTATAAGTCTATTATCTATTTGACACAAGGATGTGATAAATCATTAGGTGTAACTAATAAGTATTATTGTCTAGAGCAAAGTAACAGACTTATATTTTTATGCTTTTGATAACCAAAAATTCAGTTTTGATTCATTTATATTAAAAATATTAAAAAAATAGGTTTGGCATTTTCTAGATATTATGCAAATTTTTATATAGTAAAATCAAAATATTACTAAGTAAATTAATTGAATTTTATTAAGTAAACTTGTTTAAGAGATCAAAATATATATATATTGAAATTTATATACAAATAAGCCAATTTTTTACTAATATGTTTTTCATTTTATATTCAAAAAATTAATTAATTTTGACATTTTTGTAAATTTTGTTTTTTTTTTTTTTTTTTTTTTAAATATTAACGGTGAGGCCATGCCTTTAACTTTATTGAAATTCAATTGAAGTTTT